CGTTGCGTTGGGAAGATTGCCTTTTCCTTTGCCAGTGAGATCCTTTCGTTTGGCAGCAATGACGCTTCTGGACCTGGAAAACTCGTTATCCTTGAAAATATTATATGAAGAACCTTTTTCCTGGAGATAACGTTGGAAACTTCTTTGAAATCCAGTAATGCCTCCCGGTTCATACTCGCCGCCATCTTGTTTGCGGATGGAGATGAAAAATTTGCAAAGCAGTGTATTCAGCTCAGGTTCAGGTATGTCTTCCATTTTTCTGCTTTCTCCAATGGATTGACAAAATCTTTGCCAGGCTTTCATGTCACTCTTCGTTTTATACCCTGTGTTTTTGGATTTTTGGTCGTTCAAAATTTTTTTTATCATCTCTTCGTCTTCATCTTTGTTGTTGTTGTTATTGTTGTTGTTGCTGTTTTGCTACTCAAACACTGCTTTCGCACTGGCTAAATGTCAAAAGTCGTCCTCCAGATCTTCAGGGTAATAAAACTCAGGGTCGTCATCCATGCTAAAGTACGACGAATAAAACGGATCTACTTTTTTAGTTTCAATCTCAATGTATCGATTTGGAAAAAAATGTTTTCGCCGTAAGATTAATATGCGATCGGACCGGTTAATACCGGAGAATCTAGCCCAGTCCGCGATGCGATCTATCCATTCAGATTGCTCGATTTGCTAGTGTCCAGGCTCTAAGATTCACGGTCATATAATAAAAAAACAGTATCAAATATCTTTAGCGTGGGTGGTTACGAAGGCGATTACGTTTTACTGCTGATGCTTTTTACGGAAGTTATCGTGTGGGAAGACGTTTAATGTTTTGTGTGAAGATTTACATACCTGCAATAAATCACAGACTCATTTATCTTATAGTTATTTTAGGTAATACCAACCATTCTTTTTGTAAACATATAACTTATGTTTATATTTTTTCCTCATTGTACTTCTATGGTATAAATAAGGCACATTGTCGTTGTTGTTAGTCCTTTCTAAAATGTTCTTTAGACATTACTCTTACGCCTTAAATCATGTCATATTCCTTGCCAAAATTATGTACAATTATAATATTCCCCAATTTCTACATTACGTCATCGATGAGTACAAAAGGAGACAAGCGAGTGAGAGCGARAGTTCGAAGTGAGATTTCAAGGAAATATATTGTAAACAGATCCAAAGGAAAAGAAGAAGAAAAACAAGCTGGTTTAAATTCTCTTCAAGCTCGCCTCATGACTTTTGTCAGTACCATAAAATTACCTAAGTAATTTTCAATCAAGCTTTCAGGGCCCTTTCTTGGTGTTGCAAGGCTGCGGAAGCATGAAGACAATAAAACAATAGCCATGCWAGGATGATGAATTTGGAGCACTCATATCAATATAAGCAGTTAAAAAAA